TTGCGAAAAAATTAGGATTTACCTGCCCTTTTACTTACCTCTAATTAACTATCTAAAACAACTAAAGCACATTACGTCAAGAATGTGTTGGCTGTTCATTTCTACCCGTGATATTTATTCTTATATATTGAATTTAATTTATTATTCAGTGTTCAGTTACCTGTATAAATACATATCTAATTCTACTTCAATAATACCTGGTAGTCGTAATTAACATTGCTTGTATTTTTTGTTAATTTAAAAGTATTGTATTTGTTAATTTTTTTGTCGATTTTGTTGATTTTTTGTTAATTTTGGGGGAATTTTGTGGATGGAAATGATTCAGTGAAAGCCAAGGGTAAAATTATCATCACTTATTGTATTCCTGTGTTGTGTTCTTATTAATTTGGTTTTATTTTACTCTCATAATGCTCCATCACAATCATCATTATACTTATGGCATTTAAATGTTACTGTCTTAGATTACAATGACGGACTAGACTTATACTTAAAGCTTATCTTAAATGGTTTATTGTCGTGTGACTGCGCTCGAATTCCTGGAGATCCGTCATAAATTGTACACACACACACACGAAGGGAATCAAATTTCATCATAAGATAATCCAAACACTTTCACCTATGTGTTCGGTATTAAGATATAAGAGACAACTAAGACAGGTGAGGCAATTATCTCATTTATAGAGACACAGGTAAACCAGATGTATTACAAGGAGACCAGGTTGTTGATTACAGCTTAACAAATATTATGTTGTATCCCTTTCGGAGGTCACTACCCGGGAAGGACCAAGATACAATGAGCCACGAACGTATAAGATGAAAGGGAGATGTTTTTATTTGTATATTAGATTAGAAACACGCTCATACACTTGGGAACGTCGGGTCGGTGAAAACAAGACGACTGTAAAAGTTTGATCTTTGAAGAGAAAGCAAACAAGTGCCCGTTAACCTGTAATGTTGAGTAATAGAATCGTTAAAGTTCTAATGTGTCCTAATTGGTGTACATTAGCTTTTGGATTGTGTGAGATTAAGGCGTTTCAAGTTTTATTCAAGAAGTATGCAACAGCAAGTGCGACGATCATACTACACACGCACAGAGACAGAACAGAAGTGTGGGATAATGGCTTGAATTTTCTCTGTGCATCATTGAACGTTAATAAAGTAAATAAAGAATAAGAAAAGGACAAATGAACGATACGTAGAGGAAGAGAAAACAAGGAAGCGTGTGGACCAAGTTTATACTGCAAGTTACAGACAGGTTAACTGGCCCACTTCCTTCAAGGTACAAGAGCAACAGTATGAAGAACCTTGACTCATACACACACAGAAGAGTTACCAAAACGGAGACAATATGAGCGATGTTGAGGACTGATGTAGAGAGAAAGACTAACCTAACCTAGCCTAACCTAGCCTAGCCTAACCTAACCAAACCAAACCTAACCTAGCCTAATCTAACCAAACCAAACCTAACCTAGCCTAATCTAACCAAACCAAACCTAACCTAGCCTAATCTAACCAAACCAAACCTAACCTAATCTAACCAAACCAAACCAAACCTAACATAGCCTAATCTAACCAAACAAAACCTAATCTAGCCTAACCTAACCTAACCAAACCTAACCTAGCCTAATCTAACCAAACAAAACCTAATCTAGCCTAATCTAATCAAACCAAACCTAACCTAGCCTAATCTAACCAAACCAAACCTAGCCTAATCTAACCAAACCAAACCTAATCTAGCCTAACCTAACCAAACCAAACCTAATCTAGCCTAGCCTAATCTAACCCAAAGACAACGCTTGATTATATCACTGTTCTTAAAATCAGAATTAATTTAGACATTCAGACACAAGTACAGGTTGATTTACAAGTTATAAATACAAATATTTTCATACAGTGAAAGCGTCATGGCAGAAGAAGCCTTGACCCAGACACACACACACACACACACACACGCGCGCGTATCTAAAGGATGAGTCATCAAAAACCATTCCTCCAAAAAACCAAAGACGGTCAACTAGCTTTCAATCCTTAAGGGAGTAAGATGTATTAAACCGATCTCTCTTTTAGTCTTGGCTTCTGATCAAACCACGTTTTCCCACAATCTACCGTCAGTAGTGTCAGCAGCACCCACTAGGAACAACTCTCCTGACTTCTTGCTGACATCGACTGAACTATAATGATCCTTAATAATGCATCGAACATATATTTTGTGTAGTGATTTGTTTTTTTTCTATCGTACTTTCACAGTTGATATTTTTAATAGATGGTGAATGTAATAAACGAAATCAGACATCCTTGTATTCGTTGCTCTTTTGTTTTTGAGTCTATATACTTTATTAGAAGTAAATAGAGATATTCAGAATGTATAAAGAGTCTGGTGTTTATTGATGTATCTGGCTGTAGAACTGATATTTCAGATACAGGTTAATATTTTGTATATAGTATTAGCCTGTGTGTGTGTGTGTGTGTGTGTGTGTGTAATAATAATAATAATAATAATAATTAACGGTTTATTGAAAGAGCTTGGCAGCCAGAAGGCTGAAAATATACAGTTACATATTTGGGGTGTGTGTGTGTGTGTGTGTGTGTGTGTGTGTGTCGTCCATCTTGGCATTTATCAGTGCGTGAATAAGTTCCTCGCGGGAAAAACTCGGTGAATTGCTTCAACTCTTTGCACAAGTACATTAAACTTTTCGAGAATAAGGAAGAAGCCTGAAGGTAAAAACAAAACAGAAATTGGATAAGAAACTGATCAATTAATATGAAAAATACCTGTTCTTCCCTCCCTTCCTCTCTCTCTCCCTCCTTCCCTCCCTTCCTCTCTCTCTTCCTTTCCTCCCTTCCTCTCTCTCTTCCTTTCCTCCCTTCCTCTCTCTCTGCCTTTCCTCCCTTCCTCACCCCCTCCTTCCCTCCCATTAAAAATAAAATAGCGGTGAATACACACTAGCTTCTCCACGTTGTATAAGTCTCTGTGTCTTGAGATCCTGAAGTTTGAGGTAATTTAACAGAAGGTGTCAGAATGTCATTGAGGATTTTTACTTGACAGATTCACCTGATGAAATATATACCTTTATGTTTATTGTGTGTGATACCTGATGTTGGTTACAAGACTAGCGAGGTCATCCTAAAACTGTACCCCGAGACCTCACTAGGATTACGCAGTTCAGTTCTGGTCACCGTACTACAGAATGGATATAGAATCCCTAGAAAGAATTCAGAGGAGAATGACAAGACTAATCCCGGGCATTAGGAACCTTGACTACAGAGACAGGTTAAAGCATCTTAATTTGCACTCCCTCGAGAGACGTAGAGTGAGGGGCGATATGATCGAGGTTATAAATGGAAGTCAGGGCTAAACAATGGTACTCAAACTATCCACATACTGCGAAAACCCGAGTCATTTGTCGACCCCCAAGAAGTTTCACGAGTTAACCCTCTGTCTACAGGCACACGCGATCTCAGTTACACTACGAGGCTAAAGGGATTCTGCTGATTAACTGTACCTACTGCATAAAACAACAATCACTGGCGACTCTCAAAATGGCTTAATGTGAACACTTGACATCAGCATCCTAGAGAGAGACACTAAAGGATGATAACCAGAGGAGTTGTGCTGTCGCCGTGTAATGCTATGTGGCGGCCCAAGACTCCAGAGCCCCGCAGAGGTTGTGGTTTTCGAGTAATTCAACGACACGGAGACCAAGTCTGACCCTAAGTGATTATTTATTTGGAATCCTTATTAGTTACACCTCTAAGGGCGACACCTTCGGGATGACGAGGAATTGAAGGAGGTTATAGACAGATAGACAGACAGATAGACAGGCATAGGAGGGGGAACTAATTAAGACTATCTTGAAAGGCAAGTGAAGTACAATTATGGATCTATTTAATATTATTCCCAGTTAACATTTGATAGTCCTTTACAACACTCTACGGAAACAACAATAAAGTTTTCGCTAAATTTCTTACACTTTCTACTGTGTCTTGGTAATTAGAATAGCAATAACGTAACCTCACCTCACCTCACCTAACCTCACCTCACCTAACCTCACGTAACTTTGATCACTTCTATAAAACGTGGGTCAGAGGTCATCATCAGGGGTCAGCAAGTCACAGGGTCATCCGGCATCAACAATAACATCTATACTGCCACGATGAAACAAGGAATTAAACCACCTTACTCTAAGTCATCGTATTTAAAGGATTAAGTCATCTTTGTCAAGGGTAAATCATCGTACTCAAGGGGTTAAATTACATGTACTCAAGGGGGTTAAATTACATGTACTCAAGGGGTTAAATTACATATACTCAAGGGGTTAAATTACATGTACTCAAGGGTGGTTAAATTACATGCACTCAAGGGATCAAATCTCATCAGCCAGATCTTTCCGATATGAAAATAAAATGAGAAATATTGCAGAGGAAAGTTTCTCAGTTCGTGGTTTCCTAAGACTGGGAAAGCCTCTGGATATGTTGTGTATGTTCGTGAGGGATTGGGAGAGGTCGAGGCAGAAAATGACTCTAGTAATTGTTTACCCTCAGGCAAAACTAGTCGGTGTGTGAAGGGCCAATGATCTTCCGCACACATGGCGAAGTACAGGGAGGTAGGAAGGTTGTACACACTGGTACTCTGGTATATGTATTAGTTTAAATTTGATTTCATACACAAGAATGCGCCGCCGGGTGGGTGGGAGTTCACACACACACACACACACGCGTGCTTCATTCACAAACTAACATACAGTAAGGTGGGAATAACGTGATAAATTATAACACAACAAGAAGTCATTAGTTATTGCAGTTAATAGAGCAAGATACTACACGATTCCCCGCCCCGCTGGTGAGGCCACAACCATACGTGCTTGAACACCACTGCCAAGATAACAGGTGTGACAACAGTTCCAGGAAGTACACTACAGATGTCTAACCCGGTAGCAAATTTTATCACGGTCAGTTAACATTTGTTCCAGTTAATGTGGTGTTAACTCGGACGCCCGCACCCGCATGTCCTCCCGCACCCGCATGTCCTCCCGCACCCGCACGTCCTCCCGCAAGCAAGCACGTACAGTACACATTTCACAAACCTCAATTACTATAATACTAACATTATCTTAAACCCACTTGATGAGCAAGGTAGATAGGTCAAGGTAGATCTCTACTGAAGTAATTTAAGACCAAAACCAAACACTGAATTAAGAAGGAAAATAAATTGTCTTAAAATTCTTACACTTTTCTTGTTACCATTTCAGTATCTTTCTCTCTCTCTATCTTCCTTAAAGAGAGAGAGAGAGAGAGAGAGACGCTCGTGTCATGCATCAAGTGTCATGACATGTTACTTAATATTCACCGTCGTTAACAAACAAGAGACGAGCCTTTAGAAAATTATATGTTGGGTTTCATGGAAAAAGAATTTCTCTCTCTCTCTCTCTCTCTCTGTTTACCGTGTCCCTACCGAGATAAATGGTTGACTTTGAAAGACACACACACACACAGTCAGAGAGAGAGAGAGAGAGACGGTCTTACGATAAAAAATATTAATATGTCGAAACTTACAGTAAGCTTTCTCTGGGCGTGATATAATTCAATGCCATCACCAGACAGACTCTCATTAACAACTACCTGCCGATGGAAGTTCAATGATCTCTCTCATTATCTCAGTCCATCTCAAAAAATTCCTTGATCCACCCCAGGTGTAGCAGGATCAGGTCTTATGCGTTAGTACAAAGTCATCATGGCAAAAAGACTATGAACTTGTGTATCCACTTTGGAGGTACAGCAAATATCCTGGAGGGCGAGGATCTTGACTTCCCTTACACCATGACAACGATATTCGGCAACTCGTTTGTTGCCGCCCCGGTCAGACGTGCACTGTGGGTGATAATGCATACCTAAGTACATCGACACAGCGCACAAGCGTTCTCTTCAACCGTGTGCAGCTCATTATGTTCTTGTAAAACTTGGTATTGAAGTTTTAATCCAGAAAGCTTGACTTCACCATCGCAAGTCGAGTAATGTGTGGAAAACAGCTTAGCCACATCATAACTGTATCACCGGACACACTCTCACGCGTTCAGATCTCCTTAAGCTCTTCAACCAGGTGCAAGTCACTTCTTTCTTGTAAGGGTCTGTTCTTGCTCAACGCTTGATGCCGCCAAAGCAAACTTGATATTGTGGGGATAATGCTCTCTGAAGATAGGCTACTACAGCGCCTGAGAGAAGGAGACGGACGAGAGAGTAGTGACTTGGACCGGTGTATATGGCTGGTGAGGTCACTAACCCTTGGCGAGGACCCTGTGTCTGACTCCTCCCAAATTCCCGGCCACCTCGCTACCTGTCACGCCAGGACTCGCGGCTACAAAAGCAAAGGTTACGAGAGGTAGACCAAGGGTATGTCGACACTCCAGAAAACTTGTCCTTGAGAATGACGAAGCCAAGTATATCTTTCTTCTTCTCTCCGACTCTCTCTCTCTTGTATATAAATTTAGCCAGATAAACAGCACAATGCCTGACAAAATCACCACGGAACGACTCCCCCGATATGATAATTTGACTTGCAAAATCATCACTGATAAGTTAATTCTGTTTGTGTGTGTGTGTGTGTGTGTGTGTGTGTGTGTGTGATGAGGAGGGAAGAGGAGGGGGGGGGGTGTATCATCATCATCATCATCATCATCATCATCATCATCATCATCCTGTACAATCGGGGTCAAAAGTTCATCACTCTCACCCCAAATGAAGCAGCATCGACCCCTAATGAGATGAAACAGTGAGGGTAACTCAGTTCAGTGACTCATTCCTGGGGCTCAGTTTCACCACGAGGAACGAACCTTTTGTCCCTCACTGTACATTAGAACACCACTCTGTAAAGATTACCTGAGGACCATAACTCGTTAACGAAGAATTACAGTTCTTACAAAACATGGTAATGAAACTACTGTCCGTATTGTACTAAGGTAACTCACCCCTAACCACCCCCTTTACCTCTACCTCTACCTCTACCTCTACCTCTACCTCTACCTCTACCTCTACCTCTACCTCCAGAATGTAGAAACACAAACAGTAGAGATAAACGATATGAAGAAGAAGGAGAAACAGACTAAGAGACAAATAATTAGACAAACAGATAGAGAAAGAGGAATAACGGTCGAACGGCGATAAAGAGGAATAAGGGCATCGAGACAGAGGCTTCAGAGGGCGTGAGAGAGAACTAGAGAAAGAAAGAAAAAATAGACAGACAAAAATACAGAAAGGGAAAGAAAAAGCGACAGAAGCAAACGTACAAATGACATACTTCTGACGGTACTGACAGAAAGACGGTGGAAAATACAAGTAGCTGATTCACCAGCCGTTGGAGGAGAGAGAGAGAGAGAGGTGGGGGTAGGGAGACAAATCAACTGGAAATTGTGAAATGAAAGCGACTGAGGTAAAGGGAACTGGAATGAGTGAGAAGGGGGGTGAGGAGGGGGTAGGGGTTAAGGGGGAGGGGGGAAGGGAAACTTAAAGGGGAGAGATGTGGAGGAATAGGATGTTAATATTACCATCTGAGGTGAGTCTTGAAAGGATACGAAATTGTTTACGCTAGGAAAGGTGACCATTTTAAGAGATCCAGTGCGGAGAAATTATACCTTACCGTCACCTATAAACACCAATTGCTAAAAGGTTACTCGTCTACAGTTTCTCTGGAAAGTGGATGAAAAATCTTGATAATATCCTTCAATCCATCGTTTGTGCTTGAAATTATGGCATTAAGTTAAGATTCATCATAGCCAGAAGTTCCCACACAATATTTATTTTGTTTATTAATAACTCTGTGATATATCGTGATGACGGTGCGCTTTAGTGGTACAGGAAGAAAGAAAGTCGAGCAGAGATAATATTCCAGACCGTCACCTCAGGAAACGACACCAAAGTTTCGCTCGCGGTTTTTTTTGCCCTGGACCCCTCCCCGCCCGACCGATGCATTCCGTACATCTTCAACCGAACGAGGTCACGGGGGAGGCGGTATATATACACCCGTGGACTCTGCAGCCATCCACAACATAGTCCAAGCTTGTTTAGCAACCATCAACCACAATCCTCCACCGTGAGTATCTCGTGTGTGTGATGACAGTTGCTTCCCATCTTTCTGGGAGCTGGTGATCATATGTCTTAGCGATGTGTGTGTTGGATTCTCCGGTGGGCCACGAATGAGTCTTGCTGATTCTTCTCTCCGCCGCCAGAGTTAGTGTAACGTTATCTTCAAGTTCTTCGTCGCCTTAGTGTTACAACGCAAGAGAACGTGCGTTTCCACCATCGTGAAATAGTACTATAGATACATCATAGCTTCTGGTGCTCTCGGATAACACGCAGGAACACAGTGATGAAACTAGTAACTCAGGATGTGAAGACGAAGATCATGTGAACTATCGTATCGTAACCACTCCACTCTGGAACTCTAATACGCCAATGGTTTACCCTTAAAGATTGACAGAGGTAAAAGATTTATTAACGTATACGCATAAAAATATCAACGAATCCCACTACAAGAGTCTGTACCTGAGGCTCCATCATATTTCTGTTGATGGTTGGCTGTAGTGATGTGTTGTTCCCGAGGCACCGAAAGCCCCCTGTTGATGACCCTCACCACTTAATATTTCACAACTAAAATAACTAAGACGTCAATATTAAACTCAGAAGCTAATCCCTCGTCCCACTTAAAAGATTATGTCTAATTCCTTCCTAAACCACAAAATTCCTTCACCAAATAATGTTTTTCGTTGTAAATTTCTAAACCTTAACTGCTTAGATTTCCATTCGGGTGACAACTACTTCAGTTACACAACTCTAAACTTTTAATATCGTCAATCATCATTTTCCTCCGTATACACAACATTAAAGGGATCGTCCCCTTAAAAATAATTGTAAAGTTACCCCATATTAGTCTTGAAGATAATATAAAATAGTTAAATTCACAGTAATTTAACGATCCTATCACACGTTTAAAATAATACCCCTTCAAATTTTTCAAGTATAAAAATAAAAAAGTATATCCAAATTACATATATTGTCTCGAACATAATATTTTCTGCTCGGAAATTATACTACATCTTCCTTAGGCCAAAGTTTGATAAGACAGCATCTGACGACCCTCTCACAGTCAACCATAAACTTGATTCTTACGTAAAAACTCTAATCATGAGTGACAAACCTGAACTACATTTACTGAAGAATAGTTTCGTTATAATCAGGAGTAACGACGTAAGGTAACACAGATCAGTCAATTAACCTCACTTAACGATGTTTTAGGCGTTCACTGTACTTGATACGTTCACTCGATGCGTTCACTGTACTTCATGCATTCACTCTACTTGCTGCGTTCACTGTACTTGATACGTTCACTGTACTTGATACGTTCACTGTACTTGATGCGTTCACTGTACTTGATGCTGAACGTATATGAAGGGCTTTACTATACAGGTTTAGAAAGGAAGGTTGCGTAACGGTGCAGAAGGTTTTCAATCATAAATACCTCTCCAGTGAAGTCAACACGGTTTTCCCTTCATCTTAGTGTGTGTGTGTGTGTATGCGTGTGATTCAGCAGGTGTACACACACACACACACACACACACACACACACACACACACACACACACACACACACACACACATACACACACACTAAATCAGCCACCAAGTAAAACAACAAAACTGAATTATTTCATTTGACTCGTAAAGAAACTGAACGATAATTTCTCCTTTAAAGTCAAATAATTCTATCGATATAAAAGCATAATTAGGTTAGGTTAGGTTAGGTTGATTATAACATATCTCGTAAAGTCAGGCTATAGTTGCGTTTACATACAGCAATAAGCGTTTACACGGGTCAACGCAGCTGAACAAACGATAAACGCCCTCGTGGCCCCCAAACTGGTTACTCAGCTCCCGCCCCTGAGGAGTAAGCCCCGCCCCTGAGGAGTAAGCCCCGCCCCATACTCAACCCTATCTGATTCGCTCCCTACAACTGGTTAAGCGGGCCTTAACCCTAATAGGTCCAACCTAACCTAACCTAACCTAATGTAACCTTACCAACAAGATTACGACTCATTAGGGCTAAATCCTATTAAGAACATAAGAATGGAGGAAACTGCAGCGGGCCATACTGGGCAGTCCCGTTTAATAATAATGGAAGCCCCTCGAAATCGAGGATGGCCTGCCCAAGGGCCCCAGCCCCTATCGCTCATATATCCATCCAACCTCTGTTTCAACCTATCCAGCGTATTCGAGTTAATGATGACGTTCGGTAACTTGTTCCACTCATCCACTACTCTATTTCCAAACCAATGTTTACCTATTTCGCTCCGAAATCTAAATTTGTCTAATTTAAAACCATTGTTACGAGTTCGCTCCTGGTTGGATAGTTTGAGTACCTTTGTAATGTCCCCTTTGTTTAGCCCTGACTTTCATTTATACACCTCGATCATGTCGCCCCTCACTCTACGTCTCTCAAGGGAGTGCAAATTAAGATGCTTTAACCTGTCTCTGTACTCAAGGTTCCTAATGCCCGGGATTAGTCTTGTCATTCTCCTCTGAATTCTTTCTAGGGATTCTATATCCATTCTGTAATACGGTGACCAGAACTGAACTACATAATCCAAGAGAGGTCTCACAAGCCCAAGATATATAGTTTTAGAACGAGGGCCCATTAAGATCAGGTTCCAATTGAAGTAAGAGCCCAGGTACCCGGGCCATGTGTACTTGCTACGACCAGCCGCCGCCGGGTACAGGGAAACATCATAATATCTGTATTTTGCTCTTTTTTTACTGTAGCAAAAGCTGTAGCCCAACAATTATCTTTGTTACCTCAAGTCTCGCTGTAGTTTGGTACCCGACTGACTGGTTATAGTATTAGTTGGTATCACAACTGAGCAATGTAGCTTTTCATGCCTGAAGGAACATCGTGGAATGACTTTAAATCGATTTTTTTTGTAATATGTTAATAGTGTATGTATATATGTGCGTGTGTGTGTGTGTGTACTATAGTGTAGTTTGTGTGTGTGTTTGTAATTGGCCATTATATTTCATTTTTTAAACAAATACATACAATTTCGTACCAAGGAACAGGATTAATTAGTGAAAAAAGGGGAACTGTGTCTACCTGTACACACCTGGTCAATGTTACTACACATTTACACCAGGATGTAAACTACCTATCCCCAGGTAGCTTGGGTAGGTACACTCGCAACAAAAAGTATCGGTGCATACTGTAGTGTGAACAATTTGAGACCAGTGACGATAGGTATTGGGAAAGGCGAGTTGTTCCAGCAGTATGTTGGCAGCCCTGATTGTCAGCCATATGGCAACACCTAGGGAAGGGGGGGGGGGTTATGAGGATACACTTACCAACCTTCCCGACATATCACAGTGTATACGTATCGTTTCGGAACTCGTCGATCTCACCCTGCACCGATACTTTTTGGTGCGAGTGTACAAACCCCAATAATGACTAGTAATTACGATATTTTACCTGGGTGTACTGTACGAGGGTGTCTACAAAGATTACCTGTATTGTGTAGAGAGAGAGAGAGAGAGAGAGAGAGAGAGAGAGAGAGATCTTGTTGTGAGAAGGAAATTATAACCTCGGATCATTCATCATATAATTACTAATACCAAAACATGTGTCGTGACTAAAAAGTGTTTATGATGTTTCAAAACTAAATACATGGCGACCATTAAGTCCCGTTCTGATTTCAAACATTTGCATTCGGCATAAAATATTAAAATACACCTTTGTTTTTTGCATTTGAAGAGTAAATATTCAACTTTTTCACCAAGGTAAATGCAGAAAGCTACATTTCAATATTATGTACAAGTACTTTTGAACTCTACATGAACTCTTCTTTTACGTGAAACTAAGACAAGAATTATAATTTCTGTAATAAACAACGGTAGTTCAGCTTAACCTTCTTCCTGAGCGAATAATCTGGAGTAATTTATGTTTTTATCCAACGTTCCTGTAACTGAAGCTTAGTGGTTGATTTTAATGCTGCTTGAATGGAAGAAATACTAGTCGGTTATGATATCCGGATGACCGTGTGTGTGTGTGTGTCTTGATCACACACACACACAAAACACACACACGAAGAGAAAGCTGCCGATATAAGGAGATTTTCACTCGCGTCTCCCTACGATAGTTCGAGGCCAGTCTGTGCTTTCTTATCGTAAACAATAGACAGTAACCCGTCACCATGAAATACAATGAGAAGAAACTTTATCTGTCTGCTATCTCTCAGAAAACTTCAACACGAGAGCAAACAAACACGAATGTCACTATAAAAATGACAATCGTATCGAGTTTATCTCTCTCTCTCTTCTCTGTCTCCTTTCTCTTCTCTTTTCCTCCTCTCTTTTCCTTTTCCTCTCCTCTCTCCTGTTCTGTCTTCTCTCTTCTTCTCTTCTCCTCCTCCTCCTCTTCGGTCTCCTCCTCTCTCTTCTCATTCCCTCATGCTCCGGACGTTTTCATATAGGTAAAATTACATCACATTACACGGTCACGTACAGGTGTAATGAATAACTGTAACGAGACCCAATTACGACAGGTGGCCGAGTCGTGTACACCTCATCACACGAAATACGTAAAGAAGCGACAGATGGTGTTCGTCAGGTGTTCGTCGGGTGTTCGTCGGGTGTTCGTCAGGTGTTCGTCAGGTGTTCGTCGGGCGTTTGTCGGGTGTTTGTCGGGTGTTCGTCGGGTGTTCGTCGGGTGTTCGTCAGGTGTCTTTCGTTTTATTTCTCTCTAGCTCTCTCTTCACGCTGTTGTGTCTCTCTCCTCTCCTTTCTCTTATCTCTCTCTCCTTCACATAAATCACCCCCTCGTTGTCGTCTTCACAATCTCCTAAGTGTCGTGGTGCGTGCAGGCCAACAAGAGACCAGGTATCTCTGTGCTCAGCTCTTGATAACAGTGGTGGCTTTGGCTGGACGTCCCATTCCTCATTCTGTATCGACTTGGTATTTCACTGCGATAAGAGTCCAAGGTTCAGGTCACTTGGTATCAGAGTAATACTGTATTTAGAACCTGTGGTGTGTTGTGTGAAGGTTATTGTGTAT